CAGCAAGATATTCCATTATGTATTTTGATATGTGTCAATTATGTGATCTTCTTGATCTGAATGAACACTTAAATTCAGGACAATGTGTTGTTGGCCACTATATAGTGAGTAAGAAACGAGATGTTTTGATGGATACAAAAACAAAGAAGGTTTATCAGGTAGCGTCCTTTTCCGATGACTATAATTCTATACAGCTTGCAGCTATTGATGATCCAGAACGAATCATTGAGATATCAAGGAAAAAAGCATTTAAAATGCTTCCGTGTGTTGTTCTTGACTTTCCAAATAGGCCTAAAAAGTATATTCCAGTTCATTACAACACATATCAATACATTTAATACAGAGTTTATTAATTTCTTGACTTTGCGAAATTTCACATTGTTTGAAAAAATTTACAAGTCAGAACATTTTGTTGGGCATTTCTGCATTTCGCTTGGAGCGCAAAAATCCATTAACAAAAAATCGTTAAAAGTCAAGCCAGCATTTGCGAAAAGGGTTTAGCGGGTCAATAATAATGTCAATAAAAAACATTTCACAATATAATTAATGCAAAATTTAATAATTTATATAATGGTGGTGGTATATGTACAGGGTGTTAATAACTTAGAGTTCAAAATCGTATTTGTAAATGCTTTCAATTTCCTTCCAACGCTTTTCTTCAATTTCCAAGTCCTTAATGAGACCAGTTTCAATATCACACAACCAACCATGGACGTGTAATGTTCTTCCCTTGGCCCAAGCATTTTGTACAACACTAGTCTTACAGAGATTGAGAGTTTGTTCAATAATATTGAGTTCAATCATACGGTGGATCTTTTTATCCTTATCCTCAATGGCATCAACTTCTGCCTTGTGGAGACGATAAACATCCTTAATATTTCTCAACCAGTGGTCAATTAAACCCAAATGCTTATTTGTCAAAGCAGCCATAACACCACCACAACGAGTGTGGCCCATAACAATGACGTGTTTAACTTGCAAAACTTCAACAGCATATTGTAAAACTGACATGGCATTAACATCAGTATTGACAACCAAGTTGGCAACATTTCTGTGAATGAAAATTTGACCTGGTTGGGTCTTGGTCAATTGATCAGGAGGTACACGACTATCACTGCAACCAATTAACATGTAATCTGGTTTTTGAACATCCTTGATTCTATTGAAAAAGTCAGGATCAGAACCCAACTTGTCTGAAACAAATTCCTTATTGTTATTCAACAACTTTTCATAACTTTGTTGAGCAACAAGTTCTTCTTCAGTGAATTCTTCTTCGAATTGAATAGGTACATTAATACCAGCTGGTTTCTTTTGTAATAAACCTTCAATGGTGTAAGAAACATTAGGATCTGATGGTTCTGGACGAGAGAGATTTTGATTATTAGCAGCACTAAGTTGACTATAATCAATTTGATGGGAACAACCTGCTTCACCCAATGATGAAGTAGATGATTTCTTCTTAATACTAATACCAGAGACTTTCTTCTTTGTGTTATGAGAGGATCCCGAATTGAATTCTGATTCATCACCAGAAAGAGTATTTGGTGATACATCATTAACAGTCAAGTGTTGTGCTTGTTGATGATTTCCACCACAACATTGGCCATTATGTTCGT